CAGCTAGTCATCACCACCCACCGCCAACTCTTGGGCTACTCTATTACCAACGAATAATGGGATTGACCGTCACATTATAACGTCCCCACGGCTGAAAGGGCGAGCATGTTTGGTGTGAGAGGGATTCGAACCCGCGACCCTCAGATTGTGAGTCGAGTGCATTAATCACCTGGCCAACTCTGGAGATAAGTAGATGTTAAGCTAAGATAAAATTCATCCACCGTGATTTTATTTGGATGTATAATATGTTAGAGAGGGAATGGCTAGAAAAGTTTCGTTACTGATCATACAAGTGTTACAGAGAGCAGGCTAAGTATTAGTGAGGTTAAAATTCGCAATTTTCTAGCGCATTTAGACCTTTTGCCATCAGATGTCTAATGTAGTTGTAGGCTATCTAAATAATATATTATTCTCATTGCGAATTTATTTTCAGCGTTTAAACATATTAAAACAAGTAAGATTCTTTTATCACTCAAAGGGAAGTAATAAAGTTTGAGTATTTATTCACTTTCGTTTTGAAATACTATGTACCATTGAGTTAAGAAAACGAAGGTGGCTTTGTACAACGTCTCACGGTATCCTTCTCCTACGTATACGAAAATAAAAGTACGTGTGGTACTTGCTTAAAAATACAGTACCTTTGGAGTACAAAGACGTATTACTGAAACCTATCACAGACTCTACTTTCTTTAGCTGTCTGATATAACCTAAGACACAGATCAGAACATAGGAATTTATTAAATGTTTATTATAATAAGTGTGTTGAACAAAAGGTAAACTCAACAGGCTTTTAAGATACTCACACTGTCACTAAGGTACTGCTTCTCCATATTATCCCGAGCCTTCTTGTTTTCTGCTTCCTTGACTAATACAAAAATGGTAACGTTACGTACAGCAAAAAGAAATCTGAATTTCTGAAAGATACACGATAAACGTATACTACACTTTGTGAACTACATAGTAAGTGGTATTTAGTGTCGGAACAAACGTGTAAAGAAACCACGCGATCGAATTTGGAAGACGAGATTCCGGTTACGACAACATAATGGAATTGTAAGATAAAATGACTTAGTTTTCGGTTCTTTATTAATTAGAACTTCCAAAATTTGAAAATTTTCTATTTGTATAAAATTACAGCTAAAAACAAAGCCCCAAAGGACAAAGGAACCACGCTTAATTACTTCAATAACCAAGGAGAAATAACACGGTTTAATTATTTTAAATATTATATAATAACATGAGAAAAACGGTCGGGTTAATAACTTTAATAACAAGGATACTGACTGGAGAAATAACACGGTTTAATTACTTTAAATATTAAGTAATGACATGAGAAAAACGGTCGGGTTAATAACTTTAATAACTAAGATACTGACAGGAGAAATAACACGGTTTAATTATTTTAAATATTATATAATAACATGAGAAAAACAGTCGAGTTAATAACTTTAATAACCAGGATACTGACGGGAGAAATAACACGGTTTAATTACTTTTAATATTAAGTAATGACATGAGAAAAACGGTCGGGTTAATAACTTTAATAACTAAGATACTGACGGGAGAAATAACACGGTTTAATTATTTTAAATATTAGATTGTTTTGTTTTGTTTGTTTTTGAATTTAGCACAAAGCTACACGAGGGCTATCTGCGCTAGTCGTCCCTAATTTAACAGTGAAACACTAGAGGGAAGGCAGCTAGTAATCACCATCCACCGCCAACTCTTGGGCTACTCTTTTACCAACGAATAATGGAACTGCCCGTCACATTTAACGCCTCTACGACTGAAAAGGCTAGTATGTATGGTGAGATGGGGGATTCGAACCCGTGATCCACAGATTGCGAGTCGAGCGCCCATGATCTTGATACTGATAATTACCAGAGAGGGTAGCTGAGTTTATATATAGTGGTGATAATACTTGTTGATTCACGGTAAGTATTAACGATCTGGATACTGAGTAGTATCTGAAAATTACCAGAGAGGGTGGCTGAGTTTATATATAGTGGTGATAATACTTGTTGATTCACGGTAAGTATTAACGATCTAGATACTAAGTAGTATTTCAAAATGACTATTAAGATAAGCCGAGCCTAATGATGGTTGTTGATAGATCATACTTGGTGAGTATTACTGAATTCCATACTGAGTAGTATTTAAAAATGATTATCAAGATAAGTTTATCCTAATGATGGTTGTTGCTAGATCATACTTGGTGAGTATTACAAAATTCCATAATGAGTAGTATTTAAAAATGAGCAGTAAACATAGTTGATCCCAATGACAGTCGCTGCTAGATGGCACTCGGTATTACTGATCTTAGTAATAAGTATTATTAGTATCTAGTCTTACTAATGACTGGTATTGTAAATAAAAAGTATTAAAATAATCAGTGAGCTTAGATAATCTTTATAAAAAAAACTTTCTGATTTTTAATTACCTTATTGGTGAATGGTACGTAAAAGAGTGGAATAATAATTATTTTTAAACTTAGCAAAAGAAAATCTTGTAATATCGGAATTAGTGTCACGTTTTAATATGGTATTTTCAATCTGATCTTATGCGACACATCAGACAAACTGCGACGTCAGAGACTTCAAGTTTCACGCATACTTGTTCTCAATTCAGGATTGCTGGTCAGAAGGAGGGCTACCAGTTAACAGCACCTATTGTCTACAGGCTAGACATAATCGAATAACCCGATTGAATGCAACACTTATAACGCGTCCACAGCTAAAAGCTGGAAGCGTATCCAGCAGCATATGGTGAAGGGCTCGAATCTTTGACCATCCCATATACATTCCGTATATAAATATTTACGGTAAAATATGCATATATATATATATATATTGTCTTTTGATTTATGTAATTAAGTGACGCACACCTAAAAATAACATAAAAAATATAAAAGCTATAGATATAAAAATTTAATGCAAATTGAGATGCCGATGACAAGAGCGTTATGATTAGATCCCACTTTATTTAGATGCATTATATGGTTAAATTTAATGTTATCTAGATGCATTACGTGGTTAAATTAAATGCTATTTAGATGCATTATGTGGTTAAATTTAATGTTATTTAGATACATTACGTGGTTAAATTAAATGCTATTTAGATACATTACATGGTTAACATTAATGTTATTTTGATGCATTACGTGATTAGATTTAATGTTGTTGTTAATAACATTTAATTTAACCACGTAATGCATCTTAACCATGTAATGTATCTAAATAACATTTAATTTAACCACGTAATGCATCTAAATAACATTTAATTTAACCACGTAATGCATCTAGATAACATTAAACTTAACCACGTAATGCATCACAACAACATTAAATCTAATCACGTAATGCATCAAAATAACATTAATGTTAACCATGTAATGTATCTAAATAACATTTAATTTAACCACGTAATGCATCCACGTAATGTATCTAAATAACATTTAATTTAACCACGTAATGCATCACAATAACATTAAATCTAACCATTAATGTATCTAAATAACATTAAATCTAACCATTAATGTATCTAAATAACATTAATGTTAACCATGTAATGTATCTAAATAACATTTAATTAGATAACATTAAATTTAACCACGTGATGCATCACAATAACATTAAATCTAATAATAACATTTAATTTAACCACGTAATGCATCCATGGTTAACTTTAATTTTATTCAGAGGCATCACGTGGTTAGATTCAATGTTATTTAGAAGCACTGAATGGTGGAATGTAGTTTTCTCATTTTAATAGGAAGATCTAGGTCCAAATTACAGAGTTGTGTTAGATATAAGGGCACATAAATATCCTATCCTTTAGTGATGTTGTTTTCTGTAAGAAACGTCTTAATGTCGTCCTATGGATTTTTCACCACTTTCTCTTAAAGTTAGCTTGAACCACAGCCACTTTTTACGCATAGCATTAGTAAATCCAGTGTTTAACAATATCTGTTATTTACTGTGTATATGACTCTTGTTAGCGAATTTAACAGCATTTAGATTTAGATTTTCTCAGAAGTTACATTTGTGTCAATCTTTATAATTATACACTTACGTAGATTATTCAGGTAGTTTTGCTTTGATTCTCGACTCTTCCTCTTGGAACTACTAGGCATCGACCACCCCTGTAAAAATTAAGTTTAGCCGTCGAACTTACCAACGCAATAAATAAAAATCATCTTTGCCAGACTCTAATTTATTGTTTAGTTCCTTTAAGAGCACATAATAAATTTCTCGAGCAATCAAAAAATAAGTACCAATACAACTCATCTCTAAAATAACACAAAAAATTAAATCTTGAGCTATAACGAACTTAAATATTGAGTTAAATTTCTCCTAATTTTGAACGTAGAGAGATAAGAAATATTTCTTACAGCTGGCAATGTTTTTGTCTAGTTACTCATTTTAGAAAAGTCCCTTTAAAATAACCCAGAAAATTTTCGCTATTAGTATGAAGTATTCGAATTGTAGAATATGTTTTAAAGACATTTTTTTCTTTTTTTTGCGAAATAAACGAATTATGTCCCACTACTTGTTTTGTCATTAAATTTGAATATATAGTAAGAAATTAATCTCGCTAAATATTGAATGGAAGTGTAAATGTTTGAATATACTCATATGTAAAATCTATAGAGTAATAAGAAAGAACATATAATACCATCTTTTCCATAAAGTCTCTTCCAGCTATGTTCTTTTCCTTCAGAGGAGCCCCGGCTCCAGTTTTTCCCCAGGGGTAGTAATTTTCCTCTTCCTCGGAAGGTGGCGGAGCATTAGCTCCGTTGACGTGATCTAAGTAGAACATCAATTATGATTTGCCAAAACATCACGATGATTTGTTCCTTTGATTACGTAAACGAGTTCTGGGAACACCAGTATCCGATGAAACCAATTACAGAAGCACATACATGACGACTCAACTACCTACTAGAACATTCTGGATATCTGCTAGAAGCTATTAGTAAAACAGTGAACGCGACCCCCCTTCAAAAAAAAAATAACAAGAAAAGAAAGAAAAGAGGAAAACAAACAAACTATAATATAGTTACATCTAAGTCACCCGCCTACCTGAATCTTCCTAATATCTACAGGGAGTAACAATGAGAGATTTGAAAAATAAAACCGTAAAAAATATCTTGGAAAGATTTGCGAAACATTGAAAAAAGGAAAGAAAGTTTCACGAGAGAATAGCCACCTAACGGAGCCTCTCGAACATATTACTGAAAGCAATTGCAAAATCTAAACACATGAGGGCATAGTAATTTATCGGACTTTTTAGAAGTATGATACCATTAATTATAAAAAAAAACATTGTAACTGTTCTCTCGTTGCCTACTCTACTAAAATTCTGAGAGGTTAAGATGTGGGTTAACTTTAATTACACAGAACATAATAAGGAAAACTTGTTGGAATCGGTAATCTGTTACACACCAAAATCAAATTACATATAACAAAGCCGACACTCAAGCAACCATATACAAGTGTCTCCTAGTGTTAGTTTAGAATGACAAAGACAAATCAACAACCAACAATCTATAAAGAAAACATAAACACAAACATTCAAGCTAATATAAATAATAAATTGAAACTACATCATTCGCATACAAAAATAATTTAAGTCTGATTCCTAGCATGATCTGATGATCAGGTATCACAACAATCTACATAAACAAAACGTCCCGTTATAACACGTTAACAGAGCCACTTACCGGGAGCTGTCGAAGTATCCAGTGTTTTCTTTAGCCGAGTCTTCAGGTTCCCACTTGCAGTTAATTGAGGGGCACCGTTCCCACCACGATTGCTCAAAGGCAGAGCTACTCCCTTTGAACAATATAAAGAATGAAATGACTTTTTCTTTGTCATTAATTAGTAACTTAGAAAAAAATATTAATTATTCGAATAATTTACTTATCCTATCTGTTGCCAAGATTTGTGTTATCTGGGCAGTGGTGAAAGTTTCGATATTGTGTATTGTGTTTTCTTTTATTCACTTTGGCGATTTTTACAATCAACAGTTCCCTTTGTTTTTGTAATGTTGCGTTTTCTTCCAAATATTGTTGTGAGATAATAAATTATATTTTTTATGATTAAGGTTATGTTTATCATTCATTTATTATTTCATTATATCGCTAAGTTTATCTATGACTTTTTAGTTGCATTAAAACGCTAACTCAACTTCTACGTAATCATTTGTATTTTGAGTAAATATTTATGTGTGTATGATGAAACTGACGCCACTTCCCTAGCGGTGACGTACAGAGACTATTAATATAGCAGAAGAGTATGTAAAATTATAATCACACGAAGTTATACTCTCCTGACCTACTCTGTGAATAAATACCCTGTTTGTCAACTTGATATTGTTATTGAAAGGTATTGTTTGAATATTGTATTTTTTTTAATTAGGTTTTTCTTTTTGGTGCTTTTTCCTGATTCCCTTATTACTGATTTATTAATAATGGTGTGAATAAACTAATGCGTGGCCAGGACTTAACTGCGTGGAATTTATTTCTAATTGTTGTTATTGTGGATAAATTGTGTTTTTGTTGTTGACCGTTACATTATTATTCCCAATTCATAGATATCTGTGTAATTAAAAAAACAACAACAACAGTATTTCAATACAACTTTAACCTTCGACCTACAAGCCATCACCATTTCATCGATTTATTCGTGGGTTACATTTGACGCTTCTGCAAACAATGATCTAATTCTTTCGATTAATTTTTAAAAAAATGTTTTGAAAGTAAGAAAAAAAAAGGAGTTTTGTTAGTGCGCCATCTTTGTTAGCGCGAGATAACTAAATGATCACATCTTTGTACCTCAAATAATTAAGGTATGCCTAAATTCCTGATGTTTCGCTTATAAATTTACAGCAAATTACAAAAACAAACAAACAAAATCCTTCAAGTATTTCTCTGCACAGTTTTCTGGAATTGGGTCATATCTGATTGAAAGATTAAATGTTACTCAAAATTTACATCTACTCAATAAAGATTACGTAACTAGGGGCTCAAAGATCATAAGATGCATGACTGCATGTCTAAAAAAAAACGAGTTTTCTACAACACTGAGCAAATTTGGCGGAAAGATCAACAAAATTGGAAAGAAAATTCATTCAGTTCGGATAAAGGTAGACGCACAATGTGTCATCTCTAGGCTGTGCCTACTACAAGGATCAAACACCATATTTTTGCGTTATAAACCCTTACTTACTACTGAACCAGGCCTGGAATGGCCTAGTGGTGCTTAACTCGCAATCTGCAGATCGCGGGTTCGAATTTCCGTTACCGAATATGCTCGCTCTTTCAGCCGTGAGGGCGTTATAATGTTATGGCCAATCCCACTATTCGTTAGCTAAATTAGGGACGGAACTCAAAACAAACCAAACTGCTGAGCCACCGGCAAGCCAATAAATGTAGATTAAAAGCCAGTGCTACAACAAGTTACATTGAAGATCACTGTTCACAACTTAAACGTGATATCAGACTGAGAAATGAAGGCCTTTAACCAATTAACAACCCAAGTTCGTTTAATTTTCTTTTAACTTGTCTTGCGATCCCGTTTTAACTGTACATACAATTTGTAATTGCTTTATGAGACAGGTTTTGAAATAGGTGTGTAAACTTTCAAAACGTTGTTATTTTAGTGAAGACTTTTATTAATAAAATGCCCCCCAGTGGCACAGCGGTATGTCTGCGGACTTACAACGCTAGAAACCGGGTTTCGATACCCGTGGTGGGCAGAGCACAGATAGCCCTTGTGTAGCTTTGTGCATAATTACAAACAAATATTAATAAAATAATGATTTGATTTTCACCGTGTCAGTGACCAACAATAAAGTGCTATTGGAAGATTTAATGTAGTGTTAGCAAATTTCAAAGTTCTATGACTATCGTGGACTTATATATATATATACATATACATATGTATATGGTTTATTGTCTCGCTCACTACCAGTGCATTAAAGTTTGTTGTCTAATTCTCGTGGTTGTTTGTTATTAAGCACAAAGCTACACAAAGGTATATCTGTGCTCTGCCCACCACGGGTATCGAAACCCAGTTTCTAGCGGTATAAGTGCGTAGACATACCACTGCGCCACTAGGGGGGCTTGTTGTCTAAGTGAGGTATGTTTAAAAGAAGAAGAAAAATCATTATAACTAGGGATTTTCACAGAAGAGAGTGACTTTCCTATCACTCTGCATAAAACACCATTGTAGGTCAACCTCGTGTTAAATTCTAACTTAGCACTGACCTGATATATGTTTTTTCTGGAGGTTTTCTTTATGAACCTAGACTTGATTATCAACTCGAAAGATCAGGTGTTCAGAGTTACACCTTTTAGAATTCTATGAAGTTGAATATCAGAGTGCATTATAGAATTATTTTATCTTAGGATAAGAAAGATACGCTGAAAAATATTTCGTAATAATCTAACATACCAACTCTTGGGTCGGGGGTCGAGGTTCCAAAGCTCCCTGTTGGGGTTCATTTGAAAACTTATGTCTGCGAATATTTCCTCGATTGTCTCGTTCAGGATTTCCAAAACCTTTACCCCATGGCTGATATACCTACTCAACACAAGGGTAAAGGGATATTTCATGTGAAGCAAGGTAAAAAAACTATCTCATTTTGCAATTATTATCAATAAACAAGTCTGAAATTTATAAACAAAAATAATACCTGTGATGATAAGAAATGTGGTTGTAAAGTAATTATACTTCTCCCAGAAAAAATATATGATGACAACCAATGTAGCCACAAATACTAACTGGCCATTGTTTGTATTTTTTTTTCGACAGAAAGACAGTATTATAGTTATAGGTAATGTCACAAAAACACGTTCAAGAAGTCTTAATACACAACAATAAAAACATAAAAAAGCACATTCGGAAGGTGGACGTGAAGAAGAAAGGTCCACCTTTCGAAAGCGCTCGGGTTATAGGGTTTTTTATCGTTTTAGAGTGATAGGTAATACAGGGTAAACACGAACAGGTCCATAGTTGGTTTTCCTTTCCAAGAAAACGTCAGTATTAGTGTTACAGATAATACAGGATAAACAAGAGCAGGTCCATTTTTTGTATTCCTTTTCAGCCAAATGCCAGTATAAATGTTACAGGTAATATAGGGTAAACACTATTAAGTCCATTTTTTGTATTCCTTTTCGATCAAATGCCAGTATAAATGTTACAGGTAATACAGGGTAAATACTATTAAGTCCATTTTTTTTGTATTCCTTTTCAATTAAATGCCAGTATAAATGTTACAGGTAATACAGGGTAAACACTATTAAGTCCATTTTTTTGTATTCCTTTTCAATTAAATCTCAGTATTAGTGTTCACAGGTAATAAAACGTGAACACAAACTGGTCTGTTGTTTGTATACTTTTTCAACAAAAAGTCAGTATTAGTGTCACTAGAAGTACAGCGTAAAAAACGACTGGTCCATTTTTTGTATTACTTTCAAACAAAAAAGTCAGTATTAGTGTCACAGATAATATAGGATAAGCAATAAGTGCTTCGTTGTTTATTTTACTTCCAAACAAAAATAAGGACTTACTACAAATAATAATAAAGTAAACACAGGTGGATCCATTGTTTCGTTTAAAGAAGCTATATTTTTGTCCGCAATCAGTTCCATGTTTGGGGCGCGCATATACCCGATTCAATTTTGTTATTCATAAGGATCTCTATCAGCCTACCCTCAAATTGAAATTATTTTAGACAGAATTAGAGTAAATTAATCTATGAGACCTTGGGGTGGTCAAATACATCAATCGAAAGAGTTTGACCTCCTGAGTCCAAAACTGTAATTATATCTCAAATCGGTCAAAAAAATCACAGAGCTATGAGCTAAAAGTTTGTACTTGAACAAAAAACAAACAAACTCAGAGCCGTTCTATGAACCGGTTAGCCGCGGCTAAAATCTCAGAGCCATTCTATGAACCACTATGAGGCGGCTATAAATTATTTTTCACTAGTTTTAAGGGGTAAAAAACACAGTAATCCATTTTGTATTTTGTCAACAAAAAAGTAAGAAATTGGTACAGATAATACAATGTAAGTACGAATTTGTCAACTGTATGTCAACAGAAAAAATAGCAAAGCTTAGATGTTATATAGGGTAAGCATGGACTGTTTCGTTGTTTTTATATCTATCACAGTTAATATATATATATACTGTAAACCCAGAATGTTTTTTTTTGTTGCAATCGCTCCAACAATCACAGCATAATTCCTTTCCAGATAAAAATTTACTCACTGTTACAACCAGCATAAAGTACACACAAAACAACTGTTTGTATTCGTTCTCAGCAGAAAAAAACAACAACAACCAAAAAAAAACAAGTGAACACAGGCTGATCCATTGTGTTTTGTGCCTGATAACAACAAAAATCCGACGTTATCACAGGAAATATAAAACACTGTTCCATGTTTCATATTCCTCCCACCAGTAATGTAAGTAATAATCAGGGATAAAGAGAAGCTGTTTTGGAATTATACAGAGAACAAACAAGTAATTCATATGCTTTACGTTACATCTTACACAGAAAGCTTAGATGTGAACACTTCAACATTATTTAGTACGATTATAATTAACGTACTGACTGATTTTTCTGTTCATACTAACCAGGTTGAATTGCTAACAAAACTCTTGTACTTATTTTATATTCAAACAAATAAAAGCTCACCTCCTCCTCCTCCTCAAAATGTTTTATTTGCTGCATGTAGCATGAAAGAATAAACAGGTAAATATTACAAATGTATTTGTGTCACCACAAGATAATAATTGTTTTATGATAATATAATAATCTGATAGGACCGATGGTTTAAATAATGTTGTATAAATGTCATATTTGGTACTTAACTCACCGTTTCTTGCATCTGTTTCAGACGTTCTTTTCTTGCTAATTCTTCTTGTCTCCTCATTTCTAAATAAAAAAAAAGACATACTTTAACGTGTTTTTTTTCTTTTACAAGTTACAAAGAATCACTTAGAAATTATGGTAATGCATGTAAAATAATTTCAATTTTCCTGCAAATGTTTGAATAGCTCTTTGATCATGTCGGTCATGGCCTGGTAGTTAAGGCTCGACTCCTAACCTGACCAAACATGCTCGCCCTTTCAGCCTTGGAGGCGTTATAATGTGACGTTAGTAAAAGAGTAGCCAAGAGTTGGCCGTGGGTGGTGTTGACTAGCTGCCTTCCCTTTAGTCTATCACTGCTAAATTAGGGATGGTTATCGTATATAAAATAAAACTGTGTTGACGAGGCTTGTAAAATGTTTCCAAAATTTGACCAATGACTGAAGGAGTATATGACCACTCTTTCTGAAGTAAAATATTCATACAGAGAGATGACTAAACGATGTGGCAACAATATAGAGAGTTTAGGACAGCGTCGAAATCTAAAACCACATTTTAAAACAATCAGTTTCATACTCAAAGTAAAGACTATTGTTAGGATAGAGTCTTCTGGCCCCAAAACCCAGAGCAACGAAACTGGGAATATCTCCTGTTAAAGTAAGAAGATAAATAAGGAATTGAAATTGACGAAAGCTTACAAGCTTATAGTCAAACCTCAAAATCCACACTAAAAAACATTAAAATGATGGCTAAAAAACTTGAATCCCAGCAATTTCGTTCGCCCACCTATTTGTTGAGACCCCCTCTTCCCCTCCGATGCAGCTCCAATAGCTCTACATAAGATGGATTTAAGTCGGTTTATAGAAAGCTGCACAAGGGGTGAGGCAGCATTGACTTAGATGTTCTCGAAAGGAGCTTGATTTTATGCATACATCACAGCAAACAGGCCAAGATTACAAGAAACAAAATATGTCTTTAACACTAGTATGTCCAATATCATCGTCAAATTTGAAAAGTGTAAATGCCCTCTGGTCTTTTTCAACACAAGCAATTTAAATTTCAATCTAAAAAAAGTTGAAATAAGAGGAGACGACTGAAGCTATCACTAAGTGACGTGTCATTCTTGTTGTTTCAAATAATAGTGGATTTTTGATTCACTAAAACAAACTGAATAAATACCCAATATAACGACTAACAATTATTACATCAGACTGTCTGAAAAAATAAAAAAAATTCCTGGTTGTAAGTACATTCTCGGTAAAATTAGCTTACCAACCAATCAAGCATAAAACATGCACGTGGTGAGACCTTAGTTTATTTCCTCTCACAGTGGACGGAAGTTATGTAAATTCATGGTTAACGAAAGGTTATCTTAGGACATGCAAATTGCTTCCCTTATATGTAATTGTAAAAAACGCCCATAAAAAGACACGGCAGCTTTGCATGTATCTCCACATGGAACCAACAAATATTCCTGCCAAATTCGGTGAAGATCCATCAATCAACAGGGGGGCGAAGTAGTGGTAAAAACGCCCATAAAAACAGCAAAACACAAAACGTGAAACCGCAGCTTTGCATGTATCTCCACATGGAACCAACAAATCTTCCTGCCAAATTCGGTGAAGATCCATCAACAGGGGGCGAAGTAGTGGTAAAAACGCCCATAAAAACCGCTAAATGCAAAACTGAAAATCTGTATATATCTCCCTATGGATCCAATGAATCTCCATACCAAATATGGTGAAGATCCATTTATAGGGGGCGAAGGAGTGGTAAAAACACAAAAACGCCCATATAAACTACAAAATATATATGCAAAACTGAAAATTTGGATGTACTCACGCATGAACTTGATAAACCTCCACACCAATTTTGGTGAAGATCCATCCACGCCCTGCGAAGTAGTTACAATGACAGACAACAGACAGTACCATTATATTTATATTGATATATTTTATTTAGATCAATACGCATTCTTGTGTCAAATTATGTGCAGTATGAAAAGCTGTACTTTTAATATTGCTTATTTGATTAC